CATGATGGATGCATCTGATCTTAAGAACACACATTGCCATAAATGTCTATTGCGACAAGCTCTACACAGACCTCAAGTGGAACTCATATTAGGTTGTCCCAAAAGTTCGTAAACACTTGCAAAAAATTGAAATTTTACTCGCCAAGTAATAACAAAAACAACAAAAATTATTCCTCAAAATAAAGACCATCATTTTCCAAGACTTTCTGCCATCGATCTGCAAGCTTTCGGATCTGGTGAAAGTACCATTCAGCCGGCTTCGAATCAAAGAATTCTTGACACGCTTCCTCGACTTCATTAAACGAGTCGAATCGGCAGCTCTTCAGAAAGTGTTGCATTGAGCGGAAAAGGCCGTAATCTGATGGAGCACAGTCAGGACTGTAGGCTGGATGTGGCAGAACCTCAACGCCGTCCAGCTCTTCAAACTTGTCTTCGGTCTTCCTGGCGGTGTGTGGCTTGGCATTGTCCTGCTGCATCAAAGCGCGCTTTCGGTTGATCAGAGCCGGGTACTTTTGCTTCAACTTTTCGTAGACCGCTCCAGTTGCTGACAGTAAAGTTCGGAACTGATGGCACGACCATTCGGAACCAACTCAAAATGTACGATTCCTTCAAAGTTCCACCAAACGCACAACATGACTTTCTTGCCGAAACAATCTTGTTTTGGAACCGACAGTGTCTCTTGCCATTTCTGAACCCATCGCCTGTCTCGATTGTGCTGGACCAGATAGACCCATTTCTCGTCCGATGTTACAATGCGCTTCCAAAAACGCTCGTCCAATGGACTGCTGAGCAATTGACGGCAAATTTCAACTCGTCTGTTGGCTTGTGCTTCGGTGAGTTCGTGCGGATCTTGGCGCGACTTTTTGTGAACAAAATCAAGTTACTTCAAGTGTCGGTGAATTGTCGATTTGCCAACTCCAAGTTCATCAGCCAATTCTCGAGTGCTCGATGAAGGCGCAATGTCCAACCCGGTTTGCAAGTCTCCATCATCCAACTTTAACGGCCGTCCCAAACGAGGCTTATCTTCGAGACTCATGTCGCCAGAATCGAAACGCTTATACCACTTTGAGATCGCCGCATATGCAATTGTTCCTTCACCTTTGGCAGCACAAATCTCTTCAGCAGTTTTTCTGGTTGAAAGACCTCGCTTCCAGCAGTAACGAACCAAAACTTGCTGCTCAATTTTATCAATTGCCATCTGGAATACAAAGATGAAGATCACTATAACAATATAAACGCAAAAAAAACAATTAAATAAAAATTTTAATGAAATAAACATTTTTCAAAATTATCAAAATTAACAATAAAGGAAAAAACAATTAAAAATTGCATAAAAATTCAATTTTTGGCAAGTGTTTACGAACTTTTGGGACAACCTAATATATCTGATCTATTGCTAAAGATGCTGGAAAAATGGTTTACAAGAGTCAGATCGGACCCAAAATCGAGCATTGCTGCCGTATTAGGTCGCGACTGACATTAGTTCGGGGTCGGGTCAGCTGTGATGGAATGTAATCGGATTTAACGTCTATTGGGGCTCAAAACCTCCCCAAACCTCGAGTGGAACTCATATATCTGATCTATTGCTAAAGATGCTGGAAAATGGTTTACAAGAGTCAAATCGGACCCAAAATCGAGCATTGCTGCCGTATTAGGTCGCGACTGATATTAGTTCGGGGTCGGATCAGCTGTGATGGAATGTAATCGGATTTAACGTCTATTGGGACTCAAACCCTCCCCAAACCTCAAGTGGAACTCATATATATGATCTATTGCTAAAGATGCTGGAAAAATGGTTTACAAGAACCACATCGGACCCAAAATGGATCATTGCTCCTGTATTTGGTTGTGACTAGCGGTAGTTCGGGGTCTGATTGGTGGTGATGGAATGTAATCAGATTTAACGTCTATTGGGACTCAAGCTCTCCCCAAAATTCGAATGGAACTCATATATCTGATCTATTCCTAAATATGCTGGGAAAATGGTAGGTTCGTTGTAACGCTCCAGTAAATATCTGACTCCTTCTGCTATATTCTGTTTTTACAAGAGCCAGATCAGACCAAAAATGGAATATTGCTACCATATCTGGAATGAAGCTGCCCAGTCACCACTTGCCTGTCTTGGTATAGTTCACATGCCTCTAAATGGACTTGTGTGTGAAGAATTATTTTCCACCTTTAAACCTCTTTCCCACAGGCTAAAAGTCACTAGCCTCTCGTTGCTCTATTGTTATTCCCATGGCATGAGATTCTTATGAGCAACACTCCTTAGTCCCACCACCCCCTGACCTTTTACAACTAGAAGCCGCTGGGTACACATGTGAATAATCCCCACTATCGTTGTATTCCTATAGTAAGAAATGTTTCATTCGGACAGTTTCTTCCCAAGAACTGCAATTTCGTAGAACAGACTCCCGGTGGGATACTTTCCCAATTACTACAATCTTGACCTCTTCAAGTCTAGGATTAACCGTTATCTTTCCTGTCTTTTCATACGCTCATACAACGCCAAACAGTAACTTTCTACTTTGAGTGGCTCTTGGGCCTTGTATTATTTATATAAAAACATTGTTACAGTGTTTTGGCTGGGCCCAAATCTTCTGATATCTATCCGCGCATCCACCCGAATAAAATCTAGCACAAAGAAAAATTTTAAAAGTAGAAATCCAATCCAACGAGTCCAGAGAGGAAAACTACTTAATCTCTTTCGGCATTTCTCCTTTGAGGACGACTTTAGCAACAGATATTAACCCTAGCGCACTCTCTCTCTCTCTCTCTCTCTCTCTCTCTCTCTCTCTCTCTCTCTCCTCGTAAAAATGGTACGACCAACGAGGATGCAGGTCGAAACCTGGAGAGCTTCGGCACATTAAGAACATTCTCAGATCGTTAGTTAATATCTATGTAGAAGATACCACAGTTTATGCACGAGGGCTGATCAAAAGTATCGGAACTGTTGCTATGACAACGGAGCTAAAGTACGCAGAGTAAAGCTGCTTGACATAGATTGACCTTGAACTTTGTCGCACATAGACTAGGTTATAACGCTTTCGCCCACTTCCGTTGTTTGGATTGGAAGGAAATTGTTTAGCGTGTGGTCGTCTCACCATACCACAGAGATTCCATCAGTGACCATGGCTTATGCAGCAGTTTTTGGCTAAGTACAACATTATTCACCATATTCTCCAGATCTCACCCCAAAATCTCAAAAATCAACTCCCACTTGAAAGGAACAAGACTTCAAGACATCGAGACAATGCAAGAGAATGTGTCGAGGCAAATGCATGATATCCCCCAAAAAAGGAATTCTAGAAATGTTTCCATCAATGGATACGACGATCGATAAAGTGTATAACCGCAGAAGGCGACTATTTCAAAGGAGATTAAATGCCGGATTGATATATGCTGTAGTTTTCTTTTTATAGCACTAGTGACGATACTTTTTGATCAGACCTCGTGTGCCTCAATAAAAATCGAGATTTTGGCAGATGATGTCTCTTCTGACCAAGTTCTAACAGCACAATGAGGGAAAAAACTGACTTTTAAGCTTCACTACCCCAAGAACTAAGGTAGTAACTTCTCATCATCACCAATCTGATCCTGGGGATTTTCACCAGACACGATGAACGGTTGCGCTATCAATAAGGCTCCTTGTTTTGAATGTCTTTTGGGATTCGTATTCACCACAGGCCTCAAGCGGAACACATATATACGAGCCATCAACAAAGATGCTGGAAAAATGGTCGGCTACTTGTACCGCTCCAGAAAGTGCCTGACTCCACCTGTCATACTCTATAGTCAGATCAAACCAAAAAAAAAAGTATTATTACCATAGCTGCCCAATACTCTCTTTCCAGAAGCGTCTGCACGGCATTGTATGTGATTAATTATTTGGGAACCAGCGAAAGTAGATCGTCGGGGCAGTTAAAGTATTTGTAGAAAATACAGAAGGAAGCGACAACACGTCTGTGAGAAAGTAACTGTAGACAATATGACAAATCAGAGCCAACTATCTTTTTTCCATAGAGAAAACGAAGCAAGACACTCTGTCGCTATTTCCATGGAAAATGTTCTGACGAAATACACTACACAGACTGAGTTCTGTTCAATCACCGATTGTTAAACAGCGTCGATTCAGGTCAATAATGAGAACGGGGATCGTTTGAGAGCAACTGGTACTCTAAGCAACCTCCTACAATCCGAGATATATTTCGGCCTCAAATGATCCACAAAGGGTTGGTAAACTGTATAAACAAATTCATCAATCAAACACACAGGCGAACTATCCACATTTCCTTTGTAAATCTTTGGTAAGAAGGATCTTCATATCAGACATTTGGAATTTAATGAAGACAAAATTAAATTCTTATACTTTGAAGATATGATGTATTTTTTAAACAAGAACCAGTTCTTCTAATCCAACGTTAAAATTTCAGTAAAAGTTAGGAATGGAAGTACATCAAAACGACATTGAGAAGGCAAGAACTAATTACGTTTACTTAAATATCCAATCGCTGAAAAATTAACCAACATTTTTAAAGCGTTGTATTTTATTTAAAGTAATTCAAGCCACAGAAAGTGCGTTATTTGGAACCTATTATTCTCATGAAAAACGACACAAACTTCAGTCAAGGTAGAATAAATCTACATTTTTAAAACGCTTCTAATGTTCGTTCTGATTCTTTTTGAACTGATGAAGGTAAATCGAATTCGTTAAGTTACATTAATCGGCAGTGTTTTTCTGTTCAAATAGGAATCGTCTTAGAGGCCAACGAAATTCGTTGTCTCGGTTCCAATGGAAAATAATTTGGTATTTGATGTCAAAGGTTAATTTCGTCGGCTTCTCGCTTGAAACCCCAAACTAGAATAGAAAATAACGGTTGTTATCGGTGATTAAATTATCAAACTTCTCGCAAAATAATTGAAAAGCCA